AACCCCTTGAATTAAAGCTGAAAGTCTACGCTTCAGTCACATCTTGACTGCTTCATTTCAAATCCACTGTGGTGGTGTACAGAGGCAAAATTACCAAAACTGTGTCACTGTCCCAATATTTATGGACCTGACTGTATATATATATATATATATATATATATATATATATATATATATATATATATATATATATATATATCTGAATCTGGTCTTAATAAAATTAATTCACTCTGCATACACAATACTCATATATTCAAAACATAAGGTCCAATCCAATTTTTCGCAATTGTTAAATTGCATACAGCACAGCTTTCTTAGTAAATTTTGTAAAATGAATTCAATGAGTCAAGGCCATGAACTGAAAAACGCTCTATAGAAACAGGAAGGGAATTGATTTACAGAAATTGAGAACTGAACTGTGAGTGGTGAGCAAGGAAGTAATGGTGAGACAAATCCATTACAGCTCAGTTTGAAAACTTTGACTAAGACGAAAGCAGTGTTGGTTTGTGTCTGTCAATAGCTTTTCAATTTTTCCACATGACAGCTATCATGATTCAGCCACATTCAGAGAACTGCAAACCTATTAAGCACTCAAGGTCAGGTCCACAAAACTCAGCTTGATTTGCAATACACCACAATCAGTATGAAAGAAGACAGAAAGAGAGGAAACTCAGGCAAAAATATTTGATTGAAGGCTCTGTGACTTCTCTTGGAGAAAAACAGCCATTGTTTGGATCTGTCATTGTTGATTCAGGTTAAGTAAATATTTTGTTGGCAGTCCATCCATAGTGTAGAAAATTATCTGACCTTGGTGCATCATGCAAAACAATAATAGGGCTCCATTACATAGGCCTACATAAGTGCCAGTATTGTGAGAAGTATAAGGGTGCTGGCACACAAAGCCTGACTGATTCTATACTGCTCTCTACCTTATATCTTCTGTGAAATGTTGCATTCAAATACACTGCAAAGACTACAGCTGATGTATGACATGCATGTGATGTCTGCACCTGTATGCATGGAAATAACATTCCACAACAAACTGTGACAGTAGTCTGTATTCATAATCAACAACAATGAAACAAACAAGAGCCAGTAGCACACAAAGATAAAGGCTATTTCCGGAATCATTCATAGTCTTCCTCAGTAACCACTTTGTCTCGCTCAGCGTTGTGGTGGATCTAGAGCCAATCCAATTTAGTGCAACTTAGAGCAATTTAATGTACCTGAGTGATTTTGGACAGTGAGAGGAAACCAGAGCACCGAGAGGAAACCTATGCATATCCATATAATATTGCCATCTCACAGCTCCAGCAGCTGGGGTGTGATCCAGGGCTTGGGGACCATGTTGCATGTTCCCTGTGTATGAGTGTGTGTGTGTGTGTGTGTGTGTGTGTGTGTGAGAGAGAGATAGAGAGAGAGAGAGAGTGAGTGAGTGTTGCAATGAGATTAGCATGATATCCTAGGCCCCCGCCTTGCACCCAGCATTCCTGAGACAGGCTGCATTGCAAAACTGACCAGAATAAAGAGGTTACTGAAGATGAAGGAATAATTAAAAAATTTAATATCCTGTGTGGCAAACAGGTACAATACAGAAGCCATTATTGCTAAAAGATATTATGTTTATATCAACACATATCATAATTAGTACCTTATAATACGACTCACGACTCTGGTTTACAGTACTGGACAGGAAGAGACAATGAGCAGAGGAAAACAAATACAAAAAGAATTTAACAGTGTGTGATATGCTTCACTGCGAAAAAAAAAAATTGATTCCATTTCCTGCCACGCTGTGTAGCGTGACACAGTCAAGCTGGCTGCTAAATAGGCCTCAGCTGATGAATATGTATGAGCTAGGGTACAAGGTGGTAAATTGCATGTTCCTATGATTGCTGACTTCTTTTAAATTATTAACCACTGGGTCGAGAAGGAAAGATGGCAAATGATGAAAAAAATCCTTTCAACAAGGTTCAGGGAGCTATAGTGTGCCCTTGCTGCCCACTTGCCAACAACCTGTCCGTCTTTCCTCTGCCTTTGATCTCTTCTCTGTCTTTGTGTAAAGGTCATCAGAGATTAAAGCATGTGTAATAAAAGCAATACTCCAGCCGTTGTTAAGAAGGGCACCGAAATGGAATCTAGGCAACAGCACGCTTGTGTATGTAGCAATCTGCAAAGGCATTTAAACAGGAAAAAGATACAATCAGAACTGCTTAGTCTTCAATTTAAAATCTGGATTTTGGTAAATAATGTTCACACTGCAGACACATGGTGGACGTTTTGAGGATTTATTACTAGAAAAGCCACTGTAACTGACTGAAAGTAGTATGGGTGATATGTAGAAAAGTGTACTGAGTTAAGCCATGTCTCGCATTTTTGTCAGATTTTTATATCAGATATTTATGTTTTATTCTACATACTTTCAAATGTTTTGCTACATGTAATAATTACTTTGGATATATAAGCGGCTAAGTTATTAAGTGTATATGTGTATTTAAGCAGCTTTTCATTCATTCATGCATTCATTCATTCATTCATTCATCCATCTTCAGTAACTGTCTTATCCTGGTCAGGGTGAGGTGGATGAGAAATCAGTCTGTTGCACCATGCATTTGAGAACATTAACACACACCTAGATGCAATTTAGAGTAGCCAATCCACCTACGCACATGTTTTTGGGAGGTAGGAGGAAACTATAGAACCCAGAGAAGACAGCTGAGCATGCAAAACTCCACATAGACAGTAGACCAAGTTCAGGATTGAACTAGTGACCCTGGAGCTGTGAGATGGCAAAGCCACCCTCTGTGCCACCATGCTGCCCCGGGCAGGTTTTGTTTCTGTTTATTCCAATGGCCTGAATTTATGACCCCTTCAGATGAGTACTTCAGAGTTCTCACTGTGAAGGGTCATAGTCATGATCATGTCAGAATGGAAGGCAGCCTTAATTTGTTTGCAGTTATACTTCACCATCTGAATATTTTTATTGTACTACAATTGTACTTCTCAATTTTAATGCACAAAACACTTTTGTGTATTTAATAATTGTCTATTGTTTTTTCCTCTTGCAGCTGATCCTGTTCAGGGTTGCCACAGTGGATCACCTGTCCATATATTTTGATTCTGGCACAAATTTTACACCAGATGCCCTTCCTGCCCAACCCTCCACAGTTTCCAGGCTTGGGACCGGCACTGATAGTGCACTGGCTTGTGCAACCCTCCAGTGGATGGGCTTGGTTCCCTGACTGGGAATCAAACACAGGCCATGGCGGTGAGAACGCTGCATGCTAACCACTAGTCCACCAGGGAACCACTTTATAGCCTCTTGTTTAAGTTCATGATTCATGTCCTTCAGTTTCTGTTTGAAACCTGCTCTGGCTCCACGTTGAACACACCCCATCATCATCTTCTATTTCTTGTCATTGGTCTCATTTTATCTCACTAGTGCTCATTATTTATTCATAATGTATCTTATAATTTGTGTGATGCTATATAATCTTTTCATATGCTTTTATTTCTTGATAAACTTTTTGTTTCCTAGACATGTTCTTAAGCTGACCATACACTACTACATGAGTTATCCTAGGGGATCTCAAAAACTGAAAACACCTCACACTTAGCATTATTTATTTTACAATTTCTTATTTTTGTCAGAGTGCATAAACTAGACAGAGGTCGAGAGGTTTGTCTTCCATCTCTGAAGTCCACCTCACATTCATTCTCTGCAGTCCTTTGCACCCAACCCTAATCCTAACTGAATGACAGAGAAACGTTTCAAAGGCATAGACTAAGGAAGGCAAGACACTACACGTGACCAGATCATACAAGACCAGGCATGATACTAAATATAACCGAGGCTAGAACATCGGAAGTAGCGTCTGTACAAACTGAAAGGAAAAAAATGTAGAGTATTTTATATGCGATTCTAGACAAATTTTAGTAATCAGTGGAATCAGAGCATTAGGATCACACTGATGAGAATGGATCCATAAATGTAATTTAGGAGGAATACTTGAAATATATGGCATCAAATATGATGTGTGAACATTAGAGAGAGATTCAGATAAATTTCATTGAAAAATCAGTTTCATATGATGTTTCTCACACATATAAAGAATGCATGTCTCAATTTCAATGTCTTCTTAAAATTTTGAGGATCAGCTTAAAGGATCAGTGCTTATAAAATACATTCAAATGATAGATATCTTAACAAGACACCTGTCCATCAAAAATGATATAATCTATTCACTTAAGCACTCATAATCTTCACATAAATGCTCCTATGGCTCACACACACACACACACATACACAGTTGAAGGCTTGTTTATCTCCCCTGCAGAACACACCGTGACCTTCCAAGTTACATAATTCCATTTATTTAGATGCCAATGAAATTATGATAGATCTGTCCATCCTTACATATACAGCACATTATTTTAATGTAGCCAGAGGACATAGACATGGCAGGGCCTCTTTCCCTCCGTATTGATCAGATGTTTATTAAAATTCTTCCTCTGAAATTACCCTCCTGACATTACCCTCCATACTGAGCTGGGCATCCACCAGATGAGAGAAAACAATTTACTCTAGTTATGTATTGTTAGTAACCAATTGTCCCATTTCTTCTGAATTGTAGTAGACACATTGAAACGGAGTTATAGAAGCCTAAACTCAACTCTCTGCTTGGCTTGGATTCTGTTTCACTCTAAATAAGTAGTTGCCAAATGAATTAAAATCACATATGCATAAGTACATCTTATATGTCATTTAATAAGCAATAATAAACAGTTGATATTTTTTGTATTATTCAAAGTGACTTACAATTAGTCTAAGTTGCTGAGGGTTAAGGGCCTTGCTCAAAGGCCTACCAGTCGCTCTTAGGCAGCCCTAGGATTTGATTTCACAATCTTTTTAGCCTGTTGTTGTCTGTTGGATTACGCTTCCATGGTTTGAAATTAGCAGGGTGTAGCAGGTAAGGTTGTGGTTTAGTGGGAGTCTGCACTGGGAATGGGTGATTTGGAAGATGAGCCAGAAGGGTGATGATCCTAAAGGAACACTTTAACACTTTGAAATGCAGGCACTGAAAACAACAAACTGCACAAAAACTGTAGTGAACACATTTTTGCCAAGAAACAATATGTAGTTGTGCATAAATATAGTGTCACCTGACAGGATTCATGTCACATGCCTCTCCTACAACAAAATATCAGAACAATACAATGGGAAAAGAAGGATGGCAGCAGAACAGAATTGCTGGACTCAAAAGGAGATAAGGCCCTTTTTTCCCATGTTATTTCCTAGAATTAAACTGACAACTACATTTCACGGAAAACTAAGGCACGTTAAAAGGCTTCAGTATTGTGCCATCAGCTTTATTTATGTTCTTAACTGTGGAGCTTATATAAGACATAAAAGTATAAAAGATTGGGAAATCAGTAATTTGTAGACTCTTCCCCCCCCAACCCGCCCACCCACACACACACACACACACACACACACACACACACACACACACAACTGACAGCATGTCACTTGTAGCCTTGTGCATATACAGTCATATATACAGTCACCTAAGGTTTTTCCTATCTCTCTTATAGATTTATGTTGTTTTTTCAGCCTAATGATGGCCTCCTTCACTTGCATTGAGATCTCCTTGGACTTCATATTGGTAGCTCCAGTCCAACAGCTGCCAAATGCCAACTCAATACCTGATATCAACTCCAGGCCTTTTATCTGCTTCATTTGTCTTGAAGTAACGAGGGAATGGACCGCACCTGGTCAATTAACGTCTTGTCAGTCAATTGTCCAAATACCTTTGAGCCCCTGAAAATGGAGGTACTTTGTTGAAAATGGCTGTAATTCCTAAATGGTAAATGCCATATTTTTGTGGAACCTCTTAAAATAAAGCTGAAAGAGTACACTTCGATCACATCTTGATCGTTTTATTTTAAATCCATTGTGGTGGTGTATAAAGGCAAAATCACAAAAACTCATTGTCCAAATACTTCCGGACCTGACTGTATGTACAGTACTAACTGAATCCTCTGAATTAACAAGTTTCTTACCACATTTCTGTACTCCATGTCCCCTCCTGTTCTTTTGGTTCTTGTTCTGATTCTGGATTATGGACTTGTCTACATTCACTATATCTCCATTTTCCCCAACCCCTAAAACAGAAAATGATAATAATTTTCTTCCTCTGGTTCCCAAATGCTGCATATACCATGAAAATTTCCCCAAATAATTCTAGTTCCATATGTAACTGGACAAATCCATGTACACATTCACATGTATGCCAAGATATTGCAACAATATCACATAGTGCTGTATGATGCAGTATTCACAATAATTTCTCCTAACAGAGAACATTCAGTCCAGGAAGAAACTCCTGGAAGTCTGGCCACCAAGCCATACAAGGTAAGCTTATCACATAAGCATGCAAAGCCCCATCTTGCACTTAGCTGAAGTGATTGCTAGCAGGAAAGTGGTTTCAGGAAGATCCCACAAGGGATTCCCAGGAGACTGTAACAGATGGAAGCAGCTTTCCTTTAGAAAGACAGTAATGTCCATGGGACTCCAGAGATATGCCATCTATGGTACCGTGGTGTACTGTAATAGTTGCCATATGCATCGATAGTGTAGATGGAGACTTACCACTGATCAGCAATCCCTAAAGGTCAAAATCCCAGGAACTGGTCAATGCACAGAGTCCAGCTGAATTGCAAAGCAATGTTCATTTAAGGGCACACATGGCCAGTGTGCTAGGGGCTCTTGCATTCAGAAGAGTTTTATGGATGTCTAGATCACAGGAGCCAAACCTGCAGACACAGACAACCAAATCTGGAGGAGCCAACCTGACAGAGGCAACATTGTTTAAGATGACAAATTTTGCTGTCCACCTGGGACAGCATCTGCTAGGGTAGGAAGCTGCCAGGATGTTCCAATATCCAGTGAAAGCAGCAGTGAGAACCAAGCTTTTTTCAACCATCTTGAGCCCACAAGTAGGGGCCTATTTCTAAATCCTGCACAGAATGGGAAGAATCAGCTGTGGAGGATGAAACAGCTGCTGTGGGTTGTCGTAGGCCAGATCATCCTGTCAAAGAGGGCTGTCCAGCTCTGTCAGGTAAAACCACAATTGGTAATGTTTTGCCTTGGCATTTATGGATAGTTCCACCTGTGCCTGACCTAACTTAACCCAGATCTGGGATTCCACCAAGATATGAACTTCACTTCCATGGATGTATGTTTCGTCGCAACAGTGCATCTGCTGCACCATTGCACAGGTGCACTACAATGAAGATGAATTGCTCTCAGTGAGGTGGCTTTGGATATGCCTATCTGAAGAGATTCTGTTCAAGACAAAGAGAGCCCCTCCTCATGCCCCCTGATGGTTGATACAACTGACTTTCACAATGTTGTCTGAGTGGACCAAAACATGATGATGTGTAAGAATCTGCAAGAAGGACTTCAGGGACAAATGGACTGTCCAGAACCCCAGTTGCTTGATGTACCTTACCCCAGGTGGCCACATTCCCCCAGTACCCCCGTGGCACCAGACAGCCTCCAGCCTTTGAGGGAAGCATCCATGATGATTATGTCTCTCCAGTAGGAAACAGCCCCTAACTGGCCCCCCGCTAGATATGCCCTGCAATGCCAGTGGGCTAATGATTGTGATCCCTCTACTAAGACTAGGACACATTTTAGTCTGTATTGTTTAGACCCCAGGTCGATCCATCTCTGGAATGGCTGCAGATCCGTAGCAGTAGCAATCCTAGGGAAATTACTCATGTTTCTGCCATGATCAGTCCAAGTCTCAGCAAAACCCAATGGCTTAACTTCACCAAGAAGCAGGCCATCCAGAACACCTTCCACCATCCTTTCTCATTTGAGAGAATGTAGGACTAAAAGTCTACTAGAGGCCCTCATTGTTCCCTCATGTTGTTTTCCCTCTGTTTGTTCATTGTCATCACTGCCACCTGTGTCCCATTTCCCTGTGTATATTTATATTGCCCTGTTCCTTAGTTTCATCACTTTTTGTTTAGTTGTGTTAAGGCCAGCCCCTTGTGTCTCATGTAAGTTTTCTGTTTTTTGCCTGGTGTTACTAGTAAACCCTTTTGTGATTTATGCATTTTCTCTCGAGAAGTCTTTTGGTGGGATTACTTCTTTGAGAAGGAATTTTGTTGTCTTTTTATATTGGATTATTTCCTTGGATTTACCGACTGAACTTTGTGGATAACATTTGTTTCTTGTTTTTGCCTTTTTCGTGTGTTTGCATTTTTTTATTTGGATTTTTTTAAACTTTTTTTTT